AGGACGAGACGCCTGGGGCGGGGGAAGCAACTGGTCTCTGCGCCAGGCGAGGGTACGTCTCCCCCCGAGTCCCCGGGGAGAGGGAGTTGGGGGGGGGGTGGAGCGCTTTGGGGCTGGTCGGTATCCTTTAGAAAACGGGATCTGGCCCAAAAGAGAAGTTTCCCTACAAGTCCCCAACTTGGGTCTCCGGGAAAACAGGCACGCGGGGCTGGATCGTCAGCCTTTCTCTGGCCCTTCCAAGGAAAGAGGAGCGATCCGGGCAGCCAAAGTTAAGCACCTTATGGAGTTGGGGGGGGGGTGGAGCGCTTTGGGGCTGGTCGGTATCCTTTAGAAAACGGGATCTGGCCCAAAAGAGAAGTTTCCCTACAAGTCCCCAACTTGGGTCTCCGGGAAAACAGGCACGCGGGGCTGGATCGTCAGCCTTTCTCTGGCCCTTCCAAGGAAAGAGGAGCGATCCGGGCAGCCAAAGTTAAGCACCTTATGGCTCTTGCTTTCAGTGGAAGGGGTCATCGCCACGAGTGGGGTGGGTGGGGATAAAACATCCGCACGGCTTTAAAATGCGATGCGGGTGGGACCCCTTCCTCCTCCTCCTCCTCGTTGATCTGTCAACATGTGCGCCCACGGTAACAACAGCAGAGAAAGTCTTCATGGCATCTTTTAAGACTAACACGTTCCTAAGGGAGTACGTGGCAATCCACCAAAGTTCGTGCTAAAATAAATCTCAAATAAACCCCCAACATCCTCTTTTTCCTTTCTTTTTTAATCATTATTTTAACATGAACCTTGTTATAGTATCTGCAACGTTGGAAGATAGAAGCTTGATTGTCTGGTCACTGACATGAGAAGGGAAAGAATGACCGAACCCATTACGAAGAGAAGAGTTAGTCTTAAGACTTGGTGGCATTCGTTACTTTCCCGTTACTTTCCGATTCCTGAGCGCTCATCGACGGGTCACCACTTGCAAAGAAGAACTGGGCACCTGCTTTCCTGCTGTGCTCTCCGGGGCGATGTCATACACGATGCGACTGATTGATGCTTATTGGGGCGATTTACGCGTCAGTAAAAAAAAAAAGGGGGGGAGGCAAGGGATGAACGACGGGTCCGATCGCCTGGCAGCCAGAGCACTAACCGGGTCTTCCTCCTTTTGGGAATGCACCACGCCCGCTGCCTCCCTCCCTCCCTCCTTCCCCACCGCCTCCTTGTTTTCTTGGGGGTTTTCTTCCCCCTCGCTCTGGCTGCGGCTCTGATCTCCGAAGTGTTACTAATTGCACCTCCGCGATCTGTGCCCTTTCGAAAGGCAAGGGCTGATCAGTAGCCAAAAGGAGTGGTGGCGGCGTCAGGCCCCCCTGGAAGAAAGGGGGGAAAAGGGGGGGAGGAATCTACCCAGAAAATCCGCGCCCCGCCCTTCTCCCCTTCCCCTCTCGGGGAGATATGAAGGCCTGGACACCAGGGGGGCAGCCGAGGCCGGGAGGGGGGTATATAGAGAGGCCCGGACCCAGTCCCGGATGCTTTGAGTCCCCGGAGCAGCAGCAGCTTGCAGGATGGAGCTGATCGACGGCTGCCCGTTTTCCCCGACCTCGGCCGCCGCCTTCTTCTACGACGGCGCCTCCTGCCTCCCTTCCCCCGAGGGGGACCTGGCCCAGCGGATGGGCGCCGGCGCTTCCTCCTCGTCCTCCTCCTCTTCTTCCTCCCCTTCCTCCTCCTCCTTCGGAGAGCCCCACCACACGGACGCGCCCAGCGGATCCGACGGGGAAGAGCACGTGCGGGCGCCGCGGGGCCACCCGCAAGCCGGGCCCTGCCTGCTGTGGGCTTGCAAAGCCTGCAAGAAGAAATCCAGCACCGGCGACCGACGGAAGGCGGCCACCCTGCGCGAGAGGCGGCGGCTGAAGAAGGTCAACCAGGCCTTCGAGGCCCTCAAGCGGTGCACGGCGGCCGGCGGCCACCCGGGCCAGCGCCTGCCCAAGGTGGAGATCCTGCGCAACGCCATCCGCTACATCGAGAGCCTGCAGGACCTGCTGAGGGAGCAAGTCCACACCTACTACCGCTTGCCCGGGCAGCGCTGCGCCCAGCCCGCCAGCCCCACCTCCAGCTGCTCCGACGGCCCGGTAAGAAGGCCTTGGCCTGCCCTCGGAGGGGGGTGAGAACCGGGGCTCCGTGAGGGGAGGGTTAGGGTTAGAGCTGCGAGATCTTTCTACTACAATCCCCAGCATCCCCGGCCGGCGCGGCCACCTTCCTTTGTGAACCTCAACCATCAGAATCTCCCAGGGGATTCTGGGAGTTGTGGCCCACAAACTAACTTCTCCGACGTGGGGAAGAGGGGCCGACAGGACAACTTTTCTGAAACTGTTTGAAGGTAGCCGGTGGTGGTGATGGTAATGAAGCACAGCGGAAGGAAAACCCTGAGCGCAAAGGCAAGGCCGGCCCTGCCATGAGGTAGAGCCAGGAGGACTCAGTCTCAAGCAAACAGTTCGGGGTGTCCTGAAAGGGCGTTGTTTAATTTCTCAAGAAACAGAGTTTCAGCATTAAAAAAAGAGACGCAGTGATAGCGACAGTGCACAAGTCCTTTATTTATTTTTGGCCACTGTTCTCTACAAAATCTGTAGATGGGCTGTAAGTTTAAGAATTAACAAAACGAGAAACTTTTCTTTTCCCCCATTCCACTTTATTTTGTTTGTCTGGTGTGTCTTATTTCCACTGACAGATGAGGTGAGAGCTGTGCCTGATTTTTTTTGTTTTGTTGCATCTACCCAGTGGTACTTGTGCACTTTGAGTTGAAATCTGGGAAGCAGGAGAGGAACCGTTTGCTGCTCTGCTCCTTTCAGCTCAATGTCTGTCTCGGACTATCTTGGATTGTCTTGGACGGTTAAAAGCTACCTTCTGCCTTGCCAGTCGGACATGGAAACAAAGCAAGAAGTAGCTAGCATTCCAGGAAACTCCAGCTCCGTTGACTCTGCACACAATCACAGCAGAGGACAATTACCTTTTTTTACATGTAAGGACTACACCACATCCGATTGTTGTTAAGGTGGAGGGAGGTCTGGTGGGACTGACTCCAAAATAAACATGCCTAGGAATCATAGCAATTTGTTTATTAAGGAGTGAGCCCCATTGAACACAATGGGTTTCCTGGTTCTTCATGCATGCCCATATCTGTCCACCAAACTGCACTCTTAAACTACTCTTGTGCTACTACTGGTACTACTTATTTTATCAGGGAATGTTCAATGTCCATGTTAAAAAAAATAAGTTTTTTCCCTCCACCTTAACAACAAGCAGGTTGTTACATGTTCCATTGTACAGAGGGAAAATTAAGGTATGCTTACTCCATGTTTATTGAGATGCCCAAGTAACAGCACAAGAGTTTGAAATGAATTTAAAGCAAAAATTAAAGCAAAAACATATGCCTTCTTGCTTGATGCAGTGGAAGAGTGAAGTACTATGCAGAGCATCCTACTGAATACATAATTTCCTAAATGGGAAAACTGTGGATTATTAAGATCTATCCAGATCCACCAAGGAATGGAATCAAAATCCTCACTTTAAATTCAATTTGGGCTATGATTGTAAGGCATGCTTATTGAAAACTTAAGAGGCATTGATATCAGTACTTTTATTTTTCCATGCTAATAACTGTAGGGCTATAATCCTGTGCATATTTGCTTTGCAGTAAACAGCGCTGAGTGGATTGGGAGCTACTATTGGTTAATATTTATATAATATCTAAGGGACTGTGTTGCTTCAGGATTTATGAAGGCCATTAGCTTGATATCCAACTCAGTTCACATCTTTAAAATACTTTCTTTGAAGTGCATTGAAATCAACAGAAACTGCAAGAGTCTTGCAGCACCATGAAAACTAAAATGTTTTTTTTTTTTTGGCATAAGTTTTCATGGACTGTGGGCCACTGCACCAAACCTAAATCCAATAAAAAGTGTTAGTCTTCAAGGTGCCATATGGCTGTTTGCTGTTTTTGCTGGAACAGGCCAATGATGCTACCCCACCTCAGGAAGCTGATGAAATCAACTGGTTCCCCTCTTTAGGAAATGAATGTGAAATATGCAGTTTTATCTCCAGTTTAACTGGTGTGCCTTGGAAACAATCCACTATAATCCTAAACCTTTAATCACATCCTTACAGTTAGATGGGACAGGGTTATCACTTCTTGAAATAATCTTGGGAGACTGTTTTTTCTAGGAATCTGCTTGTGAGACTGATGGACTTTTCTTCCAGTACCCAGAGCCATTATGTGTCTGTGCATGTATGTAATGAGCAAGTGAGCAAGAGAGAGAGAGAGAGAGAGAGAGAGACTCTGTCAGCTGTGGTGTCACTGGTAATGCTAGAAGTGCAGGAGTACATTGTAACATTGCCTCTCCGAAATAACAGCAGCAGCGTACACTAAAATATCCAGTGATGAACAGAATCCTACACAGTTACTTAGGAGTAAGCTCCACTGAATTTGGTGATGCTTAGTTCTGACTGTGAAGGTCCAACTTAACTGAGCTTTCCCAAAACATCTTCATCCTCCTGAAATGCAATATATTGGATTAGACACATAAGAAATCTAGCAAAGACACATCTACTATTTAAGTTGTTAGACTGAGAACAAAGGAATTGTCTAGACTTTCTCAGTCCTTTTCTGGACCTCCACCGACATTCCTTTTCTTGTTCTCTGATGTATTCTACAGCATTCTGTCACAGACAATAGTAATGTAAGAGTGAGTGATCCCTTTTATTGGACCACTAAAAAAATTAAACAAATTGCAAGCTTTCGTGGAAAAAAAAATCCACTTCATCAGGCTGAGCACAACCCTTCCATGGATGGTGCAGGAAAAACTGTAGACAAGAGTCCAAAAATTGATGGTATATGTCTGTGAGAGGTGTTCTCAGCCCTCTTGAGACCGCAGTTAGTAAAACTCTAAAAGCTCATTAGGGTAAGGAGGCTCTGTCCGTCATTTACCATGGCTGTCTGGTCATCAGTCCTGCTGGGTGAAAAAGAGATCTTAGAAGTATGTTCTGGTGTTGGAGGGAGCATGAAAACTCAGAGCCTTGACTATGATCTTATACACAGTCTGCTTGAAGTAAGCCTCAGTGAACGTGCTTACTCCTGGATAAATATGTGTAGGTTTTTTACTGCACAAGGATATGACAAAAACTTTAAAACACATGTAACCTCACCTCTTCTTCTGCAAGTTGAAGTGGCTTGAAGTAAGCCTCAGTGAACGTGCTTAATCCTGGGTAAATATGTGTAGGTTTTTTACTGTACAAGGATATGACAAAGACTTAAAACACATGTAACCACACCTCTGCTTCTGCAAGTTGAAGTGGAGCATTTGTTTCTCTCAGGCATTTGTTCTCTGCTGATGGGAAAAACATACTGTGGCATCCTGTCTTGCATCCTCTCTGTTATGGTGTGTTATTCTGTGTTATTTCTTTCTTTCTTTCTCCCCCCTGGACATGCCAAGCTTTGATGCACTTGCGTTCAAGCCCTGGGAAAGTGAAGATTTCCTGGCTGGCTGCAAAAGGCTTTCTCTTGCTCCAATCCATTTTTCATGGTCTTCATTGCATGCTGGAGAAGATGCATCAGGCTCTTTGCTCTTGGTTCCCTTGGCTTCCCCAAGGCAAGCAGGATGGGGAAGCCAAGGCTCAGGGACCAAACAGGGAGTGCTTCATTTTCAAAATATAGGAGGGTTGCCCCTTCTTAATCAGTCACGTGCACCCTAGGGCAAGCATTCTGGGAGTTGCAGTTCAAAAACATCTGAGTAACAAAGGTTAAGAACCACTGCCCTAGGGCAAGCGCTGTATAGGGAATGGAAAGCAAAGGCCACCTGTAAAACTGAGCCAGGGCTTGGCTCTCAGAAGAATGGATGTTTAGTGTGGATTGTGCTGTGTTTGCCATGTAGAGGGTACAGAAATTCACAGGATCCCACTGTTTTCACTGTAGATTCAGAGGCAATACGCTTCTGTAGACTCCAGCCCGCTGCTACAGGTGCAGGACATAGTATCTGAAGAGGTGGAATCCCTGAAAGCTTCTGCCTGCAAACTGCGTTAGTCTGAAACAAAATGTCACAAGATTTGTTGCTGTTTTTGCCGAAACAGACTAGCATCATTACTCCACAACCTTGAAAATGTCACCTATCTGATTCTAATCATACTATATTTTAAGTATTTATAGGCCCTGGGTGTAATGTTTTTAGAGAGGGGAGCATTTTACGTGGTAGTGGCTGAAATCCTATTATGCCTCTTTACGCTGCATAAATTTATTTATTTACTTGTTTCATAAAGCTAATGAAGTCATCAGACACAGTTGTCTTTTTTCATAAATTGAAAACTTTTTATTCCCCCATTCAAATGTTCAAAGAAGCAATTCAGTAGTACTGTAGTAGGTCAATCCTAGTACTGTTACTATATCCAGGGAAGCTGTTGGGAGCTGCAGTATGAGAGGGAAGTCAAACATGTGATACAACAAAAAAGTCCTCAGTATTCCACTGAGTCACCCTGCTCTTGGGGTTAAGGACTGGCTTGATGAACCAAAGAGGCCAGAATCTTTTATTTGAAAAGCAGCATGCCAAAGATATATTGGCACCTCCAAATGATCCAGGCTACTGTGCCCCACCAAACGCAGGTTCTCTATCAGTAACATATCGAGGAAGCTCATTGTTTGAAGGCCTCCAAATTGGGGGGGGGATCCTGATGTGGAGAAATATTGGGTTAAATAAAAAAATGATTGAACTATTTTCTGTGTTCTTAAGTTGGTATTCCCATGACTTTCTAACTGTCTATCTTTGGGAGCTCCTTGGTAAATGAAGCAGAAGTAACAGTTGTCCTGGGTGTAATCTTTGAAGTCCCTCTCTTCCTTTGTCTGTTGCAGGCTGACTGCAACAGTCCTGTGTGGTCCAGGAGAAACAGTGCTTATGACAGTGTCTACTGTTCGGATCTCTCCAATGGTAAGGCTCAAGGTCTTGACTGGACAGAGGGCAGGCTTGGCACCATCAAAGTGGAGAAGGTTTTGACATAATTGTTCCACATTCAGGAAGATCAGTAACCCAGAGGTCTTAGCTGGGACTTCTGGCAGAACACTTTGAAGAGGGAAAGTTTCATTGCATTTGCTTTGTCTCACCAGTTAACTACCTTTCCATTGCAGATGTGCAAGATGGTTAATAAAAATAGTAATTTAAAAAGTATAATTTAACCCTCTAACTTCTATATTGCACTAAGGTCATTTCTTGGAATGTATGCTGTTAGAAAAGGTTAAAGGAGTATGTCCAGTCTAGAGAGGAGGCCATTTTAGAAGGGGTATGAGAGCCAGTGCAATACAGTGGTGCCTCACTTAGCGATGTTAATTCGTTCCAAAAAAATCGCTGCTAAGCGATTTCATTGTTAAGTGAAACACGGTTTCCCATTGAAATGCATTGAAAACAAGATAATCCATTCCAACAGGAACAAATTGCTGTCCTTAAGCGAAAATCACCATAGGAAACATCGCTAAGCGAAACGTGGTTCCCCAATTAAAATGCATTGTAACCTATTCAGTGCATCTCAATGGGGAAAAAATACAACAAGAAATTAAAAAGAGTCAGAATAAAGTCAGATTTGGTTAACAAAGGGTTTAAGTGCACTTTATGATTTTAAACATTTTAAACAGTAAACTTTAACTTTTTAAATAACAGAAAAACATTTAAAAAACAGCAAACATGAGGCTGTTTAAACCATCGTTAAGCGAAACAGGGGACCCAAAATTTAATTGCTATGCGAAGCATGGTCCCAACCATCGCTAAGCAAAAATCGCCCATAGGGACCATCATTAAACGAAGCGCAAAAATGCTCCGAAAAAGTCGTCATGAAGCAATTTCATCGCTAAACGGAGCGTCCGTTAAGCGAGGCACCACTGTATATGGGTTAGAAGGGTGGATTAGGATTCAGGAGATCTCAGTTGGAATCCCTTCCTGGGCATGAAACCTGTTGGGTGATCATGCGCCAGTCGTGAACTGTCAGTGTGACTTACATCACAAGGTTGTTGGGAAGAAAAGAGGATAACTGTGTACACCTACAAAAGCTCATTGCACTAATGATGGCATATAAATAGATCCAGCAAACAACGTGATAGCCATTTTCCAATATTGAAGAACTGTCACATATATTTGTTTTCTGTCTTTGCTTTTTGATGTAAGATTCAAAGTGGATTCAAGTTAGTGGGAACGGGATCTTGGTTAAGTATTAGAAAGAACTTCCTGCCAGTGGGAGCTGTTTCACAGTTAATCAGTCTTTATTAATTTGATCATAGATCACCCAGTTAATCATAGATAACTGACTTTTGTTTAAAGAAGTTGATGTCATTTGTGACCCCTGCTAATAACAGAAATTGGCCACATTCTCCTTTGCTAGAGCAGAGATGGGACACATTTGGAGTGCAGTAATGGTGGATTTCTTACATCAGTGGGATTATGACTAGGTGACCTGTGAAGATCCTTTTGACTTGATGATATATTTTCACAGAATGCTGTTATTTTCTTTTCCTCCCCAGCATATCCCTCAAAAGCAAACACTGCTCTCTCCAGCCTACATTGTTTATCCAGCATAGTGGATAGAATCTCTTTCCCAGATCAGACTGGGCTTTCTCTGCAGGATGCTGCCTCTTTCTCTCCCAGTGCCAGTCCTCTGTCCCAGCCAAGCACTTCTGAGAGCCCTCCTCCCAAGCTCATATATCATGTACTTTGAGCTGTCTGAGATTTGAAACCAGCTGGAGCAATGCTTGGACATTTCTACAAACTGCCAACAACCATGAGGAGACTCTCTCCATTGAAATCCAAGGCTCCTGGAGTTCCACTGGACCCAAAATATGTCTATAGAAGTGGAGCAGTCACTTTAAAATGCGTATATTTTTGTATATTTGTGAATATTTGTGTCCTACCTCTCTCTCTCTGTCCCCCTTACAAGGATGACGATATTAAGCCATTCTATCTTAATGTTATATGTTGTATTATTGTACATTGTAATCTTATATTATATGGTGTTAATGTCTTAGTTGTCATGAATGGGAGCAGTACCTCTGAAAGTTGGTCAATCACGAAAAAATTTCATTATTTGAGATACCCCAAAGAAAGAAGAGAATATATTATACTGTATTTTCAGAAGTGTGCTTTTCTTAATGGCTAAAAGTGAATTAGCTTCACTAATGGGCTGCATTTATCTGTAAAGATATGGCCTCCAAAAAGCCCTAACCCAGAGGTTGGAAAAGATGATTGCCATTCCTGGCATCTCCAGAATGAACGATTGTCAATGTCCATGCTGTCTGGAGGATTATGGAAGTTATAGTTCAAAAAAGTAGCCAGACCAAACTCTAATCTCAGTTGAGGGCCAGGTATAGCCTTAAGCAAGGAAAGGTGTCCTATGGCAGATGTTAGCATAGGGGAACAGATTTTTATTATTTTGTTTATTATAGCTGTACCACTAGGGGGACCCATTTGAAATATTTGCTTTGGTCTTCCAAATACAGGTAATTGCAGCTGCCTCTAATTGTATTGCCTTAAAGGTATTGTGGGTTTTTATTTTTTTGTTTGTTTTAATAGAAAAGACCTCAGAAGTTAACTAACATCCCCATATGTCTAGATACTCTATCTTACTACTTCCACTTGGGTTGCCTTGCGGACGGATTTCAGCACTTATATACTTTGGTGGGCTTTTTCCAGACTAAGTTCGTGAATAAGAACTGGAATGCAAATCCAATTTTGGTTTTATTTTTATAGTTACACATTCAGTAGTAGTTATAATAAAAACCTTACTGACTTTTTAAAAAAGAAAAATAGTGTTTTTATCCAAGGTATGTAAAATGACTCTTGACAGAGTTTTGAATTATGTGTAACTCTTAAATACCATGTAAAAATTCTTGAAACTGGAAGCTCATTACCTAACATTTCAAAGCACTTTTTGATCTCTCTGGAACTCAATCCTGGGACCATACAATACTGGTGATTTCTATGAAGGGGATGTGTATTAGTCTTTATGATGGCTAGCATTTGAAAAAGTTGCTTTTTTGCCAACACATTCAGAAGTTCCCAAAAAGCATGGTTTGTGGCCATTCTGCCTTGAGGCTTTTAGGAAGTCTAGTTTCTAAAAAAATTTAATATTCTAAAAATCTTCACATTTTCCAGACATGAACTGAGTTAGATTCTGCTGCAAACTGGATAGTGCATAAGACTTTATGGAAATATCACAATAAAAAAACCCTCTCATTTAATATGTACATATAAGTTTTTAAGTGTGTCCTGGCTTTAAGAAGCAGAGGGATTAGTCCGATGTCAGCACAGAGGTTCCTTATCTCCTCTTTTCTCATCTTATTGTTTGTTGTATGAGTTTTGTAAAATACCTGTGCTATTAATGACTTGTTCTTATCCTGCAGTCTGATGTTATTTTTCAAGGGAATTTATATCCTCTTACTTGAGAGTGTGTCCCACTGAACTCAATGGGTCCGTAAGTGTGACTGGATACATACAGGATGGCACTCTCATAGCACAGCCCTGTGAAGAACTAAATCCTATTGCATTAATACAGGATGGCACTCTCATAGCACAGCCCTATGAAGAACTAAATCCTATTGCATTAATTTTTTTTTTTACTCCCAGAGAAGTTAAATGTTTTTGTTTGTTTGTTTGTTTTACTCCCAGAGAAGTGGGTATAGGATTACAGACATTGTGTCAGGATTCAGTAGTGTACTTACAGCCATGGAAACAGGTATGCCAGGGCACCGGTAGATGGTGATTTGGGAAACTCTCTAGGGTAGATTTTGATATGATGTGGAAAGCTGGGTTGGGGGAAGATTGAAGAGGAAGAAAGTCCTGCTGAGAAGGGAATCGATTGCTTGCAGTTCTGCTACCAGGATTGCTTCTATCAACAAAAGTATATCATTGGATTCTGGCCTTTGTGTTTTGTGATATATGCCAAAATCCTGTGCTTAGTGTACTAAATCTCACTAAAGGTGGACCACTGAATCAATGGGGATATGCAACTTACTTTAGCACATTAAGTTGCAGTTAGAGTAGACCCATTTATGGAGGAGCTGACTCACCAAATTCTTATTGACTCATTGGATCAACTCTAGTGTGATTTACTACACTAAACAACAGGATTTTGGTTATAGTGTCTCACCATTAAGTCCAAAGTACAGATTGTTCTGAAATCAGCTGTGGGTAAAATAATTGGTAACAGTGGTATGCAATGTATCAACTGAGTCAAGTCATCAGATGCTGCTGTGTAATGAAAGCAATATTACATTGTCTAATAATAGTCCAGGTCAGAAGAAGCAATAGGAGGATGGTAATTGGCAAGAAGAGAATGGGAAAATTATTTCAAACTTTATTAGAAATGTACAGGATTCATTGAGGAGAAGGCAACCTTAAATGATTTCAAAGCAGCATTGTCCCGTTTCTCCTAAACCAGTAATTCTTCTCTTCAGTTAGGTTAAGGCAACAGTCTTAGTTAAATGTGTCAGATTCACTGGATCATAGCATTCATGGGAATGTGAACAATTACTTAACTCCTATTTCTGTTTTGGAACATCTTGTTAAACGCACATTCGAGAAATTAAACACTAGTCCAAATTCATAAATGATCCTGTTGGCAAGGGATAATAATATGGCTCGTAGAGAGCAACCCACCCATAAACTTTCCAAGCTCTGAAGTTTACAGAATGCTGAAAAGATGGTGTTTTCCATCTTGTATTATGGTATTAAAAGCTTTTCTAATTTAGTAAAAAGTGCTTAAAGCAATCCCCATCCCCAGCCTGGGTCCTTCCAAAATATTTTGGATCACAACACCTAACATTCCGATCATTGGCCAGATGGAAATTCTAGACCAAACTATGTAGGACCCAGAACTGAGGGAGAAGAAGGTTTTTTAAAATCTGCCAAATAAATCCAGTGTACCTCTCATTTTCTAAACTCATGCTCCAGAAACTTGCCAGTGATTGGAACCATAAATAAACTGATCACATTTCTTCTTTTTTATCTTAAACCGATCACATTTCTTCTTCTTTGTTTCTGGAGAAGGCAAAGAACATAATATGGTGTGGCATCATGTGATACAATACATTTTAGCTATGTATTTTAAAATTCATCTAATTCAAAACTTTTGAAACAAAGCTTTGTGTGTAACCTTAGTCATGACATGTATGTAAAAATGTGTGCTTTGTGGACTTGTTTTAGAAGACTTCAAACAGCTGTGGAAACAACTGGCTTTGCTATTGGTAGGCTGATGCAGAGCAAATTACAACTATAGTTCCAAGAAATCTAAATGCCCAAACTCACCACCTTTTACACAGCAAGCATACAGAATATGACGCAACCAGGGACATATTTTCCTTCCTTCCTTCCTCGAAATGTTTTTTAAAAATATACAGCCTCTGCTCAGGAACTTGCACTATGTGCAGACATTTTTGTTGTCTTAGAGAAGACAATCCAATATAATGTCCATTATTGGTAGGTAACTTATAGACCAGTCTCCATCTGCTGTTGTAAATGAAGTTGAACTTGTAGAGTCTATTTCTGGACCATAGGCAAAGGAGGGATTCAACCATTTTCAGCTTCGCTACCAATGAACAATCTGGTTGTAAGTTAGTTGGACAAGCTGTAGTAGGCCTTAAGCAAGGAGGTGCTACTCCTTGCTTAACTGGAAAGACCAAAAGGACTTGGATACCATGTTGTTTCCGCCACTAATAGCATGTTAATTGTAGATTATAAGTTACGAATTTATTAGCCTAGCAGCATGCTACCTTTTTGTTTGATGGTCCTGACTGATCAGTTGTCATTTCTGTCCATTTTTCTAAACCCAAATTAATGTTTCTGTATTGCTGAAGAAAGCTTTCTGAACCATTTTGCTTCCCCTTGTTTGATAGACCCAGACCATTGGCTCGTAGTCCCTAGTACATGAACACGGGATTGCTGTGTTGAAAGAACAAGACACTCATCTCTGAACATGGATTTGACAAACCAGTGTAGAAATAAAAAAAATAGGAGTGGATCTATGTTCCTTCATTTTGAAACATATTTATTAGTTGCATTTATATATCTCTGTGAAGAGGTTGCCACTGGCACCTTGGGTAAGCTGTCTAAGGCCATCGCTCCTGGGGCCCTGGTAGGCAAGAGGGAAGGATGACAAGTGCCAGCAAGGGAGCTGGGTGAGGAAAGCTACCTGCAAGAGGGTGAGGCAGACACTGGGATAAAGGAGGAAGGCCAGAAGGACTCAGGGACTCCTTCTGGGTGGAGACTTCAGAGAGACATGGCGAGAGGCTCTTGAGGCTTAGGATCTCTTCTGTGCCTTGGCTGTGGAGGAGAGTGACTGGGGAGTCCTGGACTGAAGTTCCCAATCCTCATCCATTGGGCAGAGGAAAGGGCTGTGGATGAGGGACCCTGGGGCAGAAATCCAGGAGCTTGCCAGAGCTTCAACATGGCCTTGGTTCCTGTGTCGTCCAACAGGAGCAGCAGCACCTACTCTGACCCAGCTGTGGTACTGATGACATAAACAGCACTGCGATGGACAGATGAAGTTCCATGTGAAAAAGAGGAGTGGGCACCAGTATCCCCTGCCAGACTCTACCAGCCATCCTTAAAAAGTCTTTGACCAGGGCTAGGACTCCTCCTCCTCTCCTTGCTTTCAGAGAAAAGACATGCCCTGGGGAGTTAGTATAAGGGACGTGGTCTTTCAGAAAGTTCCTGGAGGAAGTCAAGGACAGTGCTCCTGTTGGGTCTGGGGATGCTCATAATTTATCTGACCTTTAGGGAGCTTGATATGGCATACACAGCTTTCCTTCTGTCCATGTTATCCTTGCAACAAGCCTGGGATAGTGATTGGTCCAAAGCCATCTAGTGGGTTTCATGGTTCAGTGGGGACTTGAACATCAGTCTTGCATGTCCCAGTCCAGT